AAAAAAAAAAAAAAAAAAAAAAAGAATTAATACTATCTATCTCATAAGATTTGGGGGAGAGTTGATGAACACGCCTAAAACATCTAGATCATTGCCCGACTTTTAGTAGATTGTCAGAGTTAGCTATTATTATTATGGTCACAAGGAGCCCATATTTTGTGTGTCAGGAATGTCTCAGTGTCTGTAGGATTCAAAATGGATTGCACGCTTCCAAGGAAGAAAATACAGCCATACAAATGATTACGACACAAGTTAGAAAGTAAAATACACCGTAAGAGAAGAATGGGGAAAACGCACTAGGGGAATTCACAGGGGAAAAAAATCATCAGGTCCTATTACAGTGACCTGAACATGTGACATATTTGAGTGGGTCCTGCTTTTGACATGTAGAGATGGGGAATTCCAGGGAAGCTCAAAGGGAGTGGCTTTTTTGGGAAACTCAGTATCTTATCTCATCTTCTCAACCATCTTTTCTCAAACCAGGGCAATAGCAATGGAAATGTAGAGGATGGGGAAGATACGTGGGATATTTCTTTGGAAATAATATCAATAATTGTCCACCAATTAGAAACACAGGAGGAGAAAGCAAATGTGGTGAGAAGTAGTAAATAACAATTAGTGAGCTGGCTCAAGGTTAAGGGAAAAGGAAACAGTCTCATTGGTAGAATGATCACCTAATCTAGTTTCTGCCTACCTTGTTCCCCTCTCTCTGCATGCCTGTGTATCTCTGTCTCTCCATCTCTCTCTCTCTCTCTCTCTCTCTCTCTCTTCTTCTCCAGGGGGGTCCCAGAACCGTTAATGAGATGTGCCTCATCTTTCTCTTCTGCTATATCCGAAACAACATCTCCAGCTGCATGGGGTATGCTGACATCATCTACGTGGCCCTTGTGCTGGGGGAGGAGGCATCAGAGTGAGTCATCCTGAAAGATAAGACCCTTAAGAGTGACCTCTAGAAGTCAGATCACTTGTGTACAAAGTATTTGTCTGCCTTTTTCTCATGCACTACCTGATTCAAAGACTGTTTACTTTCAAGTAGGGACCCTTAATTACTTGGGACTAAGGGGCCTCCCTGAGACTCTGATGAAAGCGCTGAAACTCCTTTCCAAGAAAAATGCAGACACATCCTATTTCACATATAATTTCAGGACATTTATAGTTTCCCTGAAGTCACCCTATCAACCTTCTTGGACTTCATGGCCCCCAGATTAAGAAACACTTCTTTAAAGAGTCAGAACTTTCTCTCTCTTTTTTTTTTTTTTTTTGCGGTACACGGGCCTATCCGCTTCGCGGCACGTGGGATCCTCCCGGACCGGGGCACAAACCCGCGTCCCCTGCACCGGCAGGTGGACTCTCAACCACTGCGCCACCAGGGAAGGCCAGAACTTTCTCTTTTTCACTTTTAAAAATCCTCTTCTCTGAGCTCTGATGCTATTTCTCCTGCCAAGCTCACAGTTGTGCCACTGAGTTGTAAGACATTCCTATGGTTTATGCCAACATGGAACTGATGCTAACAAAAATGAGGCTATTTTATACACATTTTGTCAAAGCTTTCAGTCAACCCTAAACTAGTGACTGTTCTTCCTGCCCATGACAGTTCCATGGAGGGCATGCTGGCCATGAACAATGTGGAGTGGACTCTGGAGAACATTAAAAAGGCTGAGAAGGCCTGCAAGGAGGCCCAGCAGATGGTGATAAGAGACCATTGACGTAGTGTCCCAGGAGACACCACCCTCCCAGGGTTAGGGATGGAGGGGAGTGGGAGGGTACTGGACGAGGCCGGAAAAGAGAAGAATGAGGGGTATGAATGCCAATGGCAGGAACGCTGGGTCAAAGAAGGAGAAGCTGAGGGAGCAGAAAGAGTGCTGATGCTGCTGTGGGTGTGGATGATAGTCTCCCAGTTAGCCTGTGAGGCTGCAAGTACTGGGGATGACCAAGTAAGGTCTTAGGAGAGGAAAGGGGGTGGGGATGCTTCCACCTTCACCCATTTTCTCCCTTCACCTGCAGGAGCTAGTGGAAAACACAACAGGCTGGATTCCGGAAATCATCCCTGCTCCCCGGGGTCCTTGCTTAGAGTCCTCCAGAGGAAAAGTGGAGCCCCAGGAAAGAACCCCTGTAGGCTTCAGGGCTGCCCCCATGGCCCTCTTGGGCTCCAGCACTGCCACACCAAGGCGCCTCCCCCTGACTGCCCTCTTGTTTGGGCAGGGGGCCGTGTCTTGGCTCCTAGCCACCCTGCGGGCTGGAGCCTGATACCGTTTCCTCATGCCACGTACTCAGGCCCCTCCCTGCTCAGGCCTCCCCTTATCACCAAACACAGAAACTCCCTCTGCTTTGGCCCCCAAAGTCCTCCATCTGTGCCCTTCTCATGACTTGGGCCATGAAACTGCAGGCTTGGGCGTGACACAGAGTCCCCAAAGCCTTTCCCATGACAAGCTCGGCAATCCATCCTTTAAAGCTTTAGAAGCATTGGTGGGACCACACATTTTCTAACGAAATCTAGATTCAAGGCTGGGCGAGGTAACGGGTCTCTGAGCAGTCCAGTGCCCCAGCTTGATTGAGGGGATGCCGCGTGGGGAGGAGGGGGCTTGAATGCAGAGGGGGAGCCCTGTAACCCCTCCTCAGCCCATGCTGGCCTTGGAGGGGCTCCGGTTTCTCTTTTCTTCTGACATTTTTGTCCAACCCTTCCTGTGAGGCAGAGGCAGCAAGCCACATGTGTGATTTGCAGTAAAGGAAGGTGCTCTGCTTACAAGGAACAAAGCTCAAGACACCAAGTTAAATAGAATTCAACTCGCTTCCTGTTGCCATCTCTTTCCTTTGAGCCTCTGGTCCAGGAGAGGCAGCTGGGAGGTCTCTTGAATGGCTCAGGATAAGGCATCCAGAGGGCACTGGAGGGCCTGGCTGCCCAAATTGCAACATCTAATGCAGGCCTTGCTTGCCTCACCTGTGCCTCCACTGTCAGATGATCTTTATTTACTCAACAAGTACCACTTTCTCAACACTCAGATCGCCAGGTGTCAAGAGCCTAACTGGCCAGGGAGGCTGACTTGGGCTCTGAGAACAGGTCAAGGGCATGCTAGTGCATGAACCGCCTTGCTCATGGTTCCTAACTTCTGGAAGGGACCCCTACCCTGAATATTCTGAGGTATTTAGAGGGATCCTAACTCCCTGGAGATTAGGGATCTAGCCTCGGTAAACTCCTTGCCACTGCTTGAGGGGCCGAGCAAAGAAGAAAACACAGCTTACCGGAAGCCAGAGGGATCGTCTGGGTTCACTGCTGGGCTTCTCTGTTGTCAACGTTCAAGTGAAATGAAGGCTCTCTTTTAGGTCATAATCTTAAAACACGGTTGAGGCCCTTTGGCAGCAGTCTGAAGTGCACAAATTACATTCTACAGCATGAAGAAACACACAGATAAAAATGAATCTAGACAGAAACTTAAAACAATCAAAAGAGACCTTTTCTCTCTGGTTTGCCCAATTAACAAATAAGTCTGACATTTCTATTCCAATCTGTGTTACTCCAAGCCCCCCCAAGCAAATTCTTTCGACCTCGATCTTTTAGGTAAAAACAAAAAGACAAAAAAAGAAGAATCTCCTGGCTGGGTTTTTGATGACAAACCTCGGTCTGTGCTACAGCCTTATTCTCGGGTCTGTCTTGACAAGTTCAAGTCAGCTGGGCAGCTACTCCAAGGTTCTGCAGCCAGAATCTTCTAATGCTCCATTTGTATAGCTCATGGCCCTGTGCAGTTCCTCTCCTCTGTACCCACTTCAATTTCTGGTTCTTATTAAGCCTTCCTTCTTTCATTTTGTTTTCCTCTCCATCTCTTGATCTCAACATTTAGTCGCCATGCACATATTCACTGAGCATCCTCTGTGAGCTTGACATTAGGTCAGAACAGAAACCACCAAAATGAACAGGAAATGGACAAGCACCCACCCCCACCCCCCGCCCTTGTGGAGCTGAGGTGAAGCTTCTATGAGCCCCTGGCTGGCCATTTTCTCCTTGGGTTCACAGCATCCACCTCTGAGTCTTTCCCAGTGCCATGGATCATTTCCCCCGCTGCTGACTGCCTCCAGAGAGGAACTATATTTATATCAACCTATGGAGAATGATTTGTTTCTATATTTAAAAGGGATGCATTTATATTGATATTATCCATATATATTAGACGGGGAAATGTTTGAAAACATTCCTACACAGGGTAGGAGCGTGAATTAGATGACCTCAAGTGTTTTTCCAGTTTATGTGTTTTGTGACTGCAGTTTCCAGAAAGCCTAATGACACATTACAAAAAGAAGGGCTCAGAGTTGAGGTGGAAAGGGATGACCCCAACTTCCTCCTAGAACCTTCTGGCAGATGGGTCTCTGTCATTCCTCATCCCTCAGTGGTCTCTAAGTTCAGGTCAGCTCTGAGTGACTCTGAGACTGTAACTCTTTTTGCATCTCACCTCCTCTACTCAAAACTCCATCTTAAATGTGGAGAGCAAATAAGGGATGTATTCCCTCATTACTTTTTTCTGTGATGACAAGAGGACCCACAGGCTAATGTTTACAAGGACCTGGTCTTTCCTGAGGAATAAGAATATTTTGTTACAATTTCAAATTTATAGGAAAGTCGCAAGAATTCCCATATGCCCTAAAATGAGCTTTATCCATTGTTTATACTTTGCCCCATTTCTCTCCCTCCCTCTCTCCTCTCTTCCCATCTCTTCTATTTTTCTTCTCCTCCTCCTTCTGCTTCTTCCTCCTTCCCCTGTCTCTGTCTCCCTCTCCTTCATAAAGCTGATAAGTTAGTTTCTTACTCCTGTTTGCTAGAATTCTCATCACGTTTAAATTCCTGCTATACTTAGCTGAGATGAACAAGCAGGCTCCCCGACTCCTCTGCTCCACCACGGCAGTGACACCCAACCTTGACAGCATATCAGAGTCACCTGGGTGATGGGAGCAGCGACCAGGCATTAGTGAATGATTAAACTCTCCAGGTGTTTCCAATTTGCATCCGAGATTGAGGACCACTGAACCAGAAGTTCAATTGCCCTTAACTAGTCTATTTCCTGGATGGGCAGGAATCCCATTCTGGCTTCACATATTGAAGCCACAGCACAGGCACTGACCAGTCCAAGTGAACGCCAGTGAAGAGGAGCCCTGGAAGCCCCCTGATTTCCAAGAGTTAGACTTTTAGTTGCTGGATTGTGAGGATGTGTGGGGATCTCAGAGAAGGGGTGCATCTGGGGGGGGCTCAGGGAAGAAGCTATTTACCAAGCATCACTCAAAAAATAAATAGCAAAGAAAGAAGAGCCCTTTTAAGGTCAAGTAATGAATATAGAGGAAAAAATGTGAAGTTAGAAAATCACCATTTAATACATGTATAGTAATAAATTGAATCAGACAAGAATCATCAATGGGTGACAAAATAGGAGAGTAACCCAATAGCTACATAGCCTCAAAGTATCTCATTATATATTTATTAATTATGATGAGAGGAAATAGTAATTTTACGATAGACCTGGCAGACACCACCTCAAGGAAGTAAGCCAATTAGCATCACCAGTCATGGACAGACATCATGTGCCTCCTGACAGGCATACCAGGAAACACATAACATCAATTCTACGTAATATCTGTCCAAGAAATGCACAACCTCGCTATAACCATGAGGAAATATTAGACAAACCCAAAATGAGGAATATTCTACAAAGATCTGACTTGTAATTGTGAAAATGTCAAAACCAAGAAGGAAAAAGAGGGGCTGAGGTATAGTTCCAGAGTAAACCTAAAAAAAATCCAGGGCTTCCCTGGTGGCGCAGTGGTTGAGAGTCAGCCTGCCGATGCAGGGGATGCGGGTTCGTGCCCCGGTCCGGGAAGATCCCACATGCCGCGGAGCTGCTGGGTCCGTGAGCCATGGCCGCTAAGCCTGCGCATCCGGAGCCCGTGCTCCACAACGGGAGAGGCCACAACAGTGAGAGGCCCGCATACCGCAAAAAAACAAAAACAAAAACAAAAATCCAGTTAAAATGAATGCACCATGTGCTCCTCATCCAAATTACTACCTGTTGCTGTTGTCATTGTTGGTGTTTAATGTTTTTTGTAAAGAACATTATTGGGATGATTGGTGAAATTTGACTAACGTGTGTGCATTAGATGGTGGCATTGTATGAACGTTAACTTCCTGACTTGGCTGATTATATTGTGGTTATGTAAGAATATGTCCTTGTGTTTTAGGAAATACACACGAAAGCATTTTGTGATGTTGAGACATTGTGTCTACAAACTCTCAAATTATACGCACGTGTGCACGTGTGTGAGAGAGAGGAAATATGGTAAATAATTTATAGTTTATGGATAATATTTGGGAAATCTGGGTGAAGAATATAATGAAGTTTTTATACTATTTTTGCAACTTTTCTCCACACTTATTTCAAAATAAAAATGTTAATTTAAAAAAAGGAAACAAGCATAAGATCTATACAAAAAGAGTATGAAAATGGAGCAACTTTTTTTTTAAAGGCACACAGTTACCTAGAAAAAAAAGTCAATTTAGAAAAATGTCAGCTTTTCCAAGCAAGAGTTTTTGACCACTCTCAGCAGAGAGCCTCCAGCCTGCAAGCTATAGTGTACCCTTGGATTAATTTCACTGGCAGAAAATATGATGTTTCCCGTATAAAATAATGTGCGTGAACTTACACACACACACACACACACACACACACAAGCATGCACAGAAACTTGGTTTCTGCCTCTATAAACTCCTAGAATGACATAGACACTGTATCTTTTGCTTTAGTACAAGAGAGCCTTTGTAAAAAGGGAAAATGCACCTGGATCTCATTTCGAATTGGGACAGTATGTTGGCAAAAGATCAAGAAAGGAGATTTATTGTTACACAAATCTTTCTATTCTTTGTGTGACAGTTTACTCTTAACTCCCCACACCCTATGTGCACTTGTGACATCATTCACTTTAAATGCTAACTGACAATCCCAGCTATAATGTGTTTCCTATAGTGCAGAAAACAGCTACCTTCACCATCCCTTCTTGCTAACCAGCAGCTGGAAGATATTAGGTCACATGCTTGTGTTGACCAATGAAAAAGTAACAGAGACATTTTGAAGGGAAGAGACAAGCTTGTGAGCCAGTATCTTACCATTTTTCATTAGTAAGAAGGAACAGTGAAGTTAGCTATTGGCAGAACATTGTAAATCAACTATACGTCGATTAAAAATAAAGTGTAAAAAAAATTGTAGATATCTCAAAATATTGTTTATGCTGCTCATCACACTGACGTTATGACATTAGATCCACTTGCTAGATCTTGTTATTTAATGTGATAATTTTTAAAAACACCTCATGTATTACTATATTAATTTTTTAAATATTTGCATAACTGCATTTTAATATAATAGGATTCCTTTACAATAGTATGCATTTTACTTTATGCATTTAAGAACATCATTCTTAGGAGGGGTTCCACAGATGCCACTAGACTGTCAATAGGGCCCTTGATGCTACAAATGTTAAGCCTTTCATGCTTCACTCAGAGACTTGGCAATCAGGATTCTCTAGTAAGAAATCTTCTCCTTGAGCATTTTGTAGCAACCAGAGCCAACTTCTAGCAATATGTCCTTGATGATAACATAAAATATTTCTCATATATCAAGTAAATAATCCTTTCCTACTGGTAGCCTTCCTGGGTTAATCAAAGGATAGCTGACAAGTTTCCCATCTTTTTGATCAAAGGATTCCTGTGGTTGTTTTTCCATGTTTCACTAGTTGCCTAGTTAGTGCAAGCTCTCATCCAAAAGCCTCTTATTTTGATAATTAGAATACTAAGCTAATTTACCTATATTATTTTTATGGAGGCACTGACACATGAGTAAACAAGTAGAATCTGGCTTCCTGGTATAAGAAAGAGAGAAAGGAAGGAAGGAAGGAAGGAAGGAAGGAGAAAGGGAGGGGGGATAAATTAGGAGTATGGGATTAACAGATACACACTACTATATATAAAATAGATAATCAACAAGGATTTCCTGTATAACACAGGAAACAATATTCAATATCTTATAATAACCTATAATGGAAAGTAATCTGAAAAAGTTATATATATACACATATATATATAAAACTGAATCACTTTGCTGTACACCTGAAACTAACACAAAATTGTAAATCAACTATACTTCAATAAAAAAAGGGAAAGATAGAAAAAGACGTAGGAAAGTAAACACATTCATCTCTAATACACTCATTTTCAAGTAATACTAAAAGTAAATATCCCTGTTGAACATTAGTATATAATTTCTTTCTCCCAAAATCTAACCACCTAGTGTTTTAACCAACAGTGTTGCAAATTCTGTTTTTGCCAGAGTTATGTTACCAAGTATAGTAACTTCTATGATGATTAAAAAAACAACAAACATCCAAGCACACCCTCCCACAAACCTAACTCTAAGAAAAACCCATGCCAGAGGCATAAGGAAAAGGGTAAATAACCATAAACCTGATCATTTCTTTGGTGGATTAGCCTGCAGGAACTCTGATGCCGAAGAGAACAAGACAAATTCAAAAGGGATTTTGCTGAATAGAAAGAAGTTTTATTGCCGAAGTGAGATTACCCACGGTCAAATTACCACAAAATTCAAAATCTTTTGTAAATGTGCTTGCCTATTTTTAGTTGGCACATGAGTTGCATGCATTTGTGTGAACTGTGGTTATATACATCAGGCACAGAGTAGAGAAATAAGGTTTACATATTTCAAAGCACACCACAGCAAAAGTAAGTTATTTTTTACATTCAGATTCCTTCCTTCAACTTTGCCTGCTTAAATCTCACCCCAGCCCTATTCCCATAGGCTAAGGATTTCCCCAGCCCCTCCTCTTGTTTTCAAATGAGCTAGCTCTTCCCTTCTCCTTCCCATGAGGCTGCTATTCCTAATACTTGTATGTTATCTTCTTACTTGTCATGGTCACTTTTATCCTCATGCTCTGTTCTCTCTCATCTTTCCTGCTTACCTTCCCTACGTTTGCCTTTTCTTCCCCTTATATCATGCTCTCAGCAAATTATCCCATCTCCCTATAACTACCTGGCAGATGTTCTTTCTGGATACTTTTTTGATGAGTTAGTTAGCTCTAGGATCCAAACTATCCTGGAAAGCTGTAGCTTGTATATTTAGCAAGAGTGGGCCCATCCCCTAATCACACACACATATACACGCACACATGCTTCATCATGGACCCAGTGCGTCTTCAGTATATGTATGCTTAGCCATCAGTACCATACTAATCACAGAGAGACATCAAGGTAACCCGCAGTTTTCCACACCTCCCTACTGCCTATAGCACAGGGCTAAAACACAGACAGAACATAAAACAAAACCAAGAAAATATTTTAGCTGTACTGGGCACGATCTGGCAACACACAATAATTTTATGAGCATGAAGTATAAGTAGTATCAAAGCCATTCGTAGTTAGGATCTTGCTCTAAAAATTCAGAGTGCTCTCCATGTCAATGAAGTGAAATTGTGTAAGCTGAGGTTTCTGCTGGTCACATCAATGTTTAACACCTGTTGGGAACCAAAGAAAAAGCATTGGGCATCTGGTGATTGAAGTTTCCTGCAGTCAAGCAAATCAGATACAAGCCAGTGGTCCATACACACTTTCACAAGTCGTTGCCTAGCTTCCAGACTGCCCTCAGATTTTCAGGTGAGAAGGGTATTTCTTAATCCCTTGGAGTACAAAAATCATTCAGTATGTAGGGAAAAGACGACAAGACTCTAAATAATGAAATACACAACCACTGCAGAGAAACAACTGCACAAATTGGAGAAAATCTCCTCGGAGCCCTCCTTTTATTGCCTGCTTCTCCTCTTCCCTTATGGTGCCTTGATGATTACCCAGTAAGAGTCTGATATTTCAGTGTTTTTTTCTAGGCAAATACTTTCCATAAAGTTTCACCGCATGTGCAGTAGTTAGCTTGTTTGTCAGCAACACAATTGGGCAAAGTCCTTTATAAGCTCTTGGTCGAGTTGGGGAAGTTGGTTGACAAGAAAACCACAAAAATGAGGAAACAAATAAAAAATACAAAATGAAGGAAAACTTTCATTTCAGGCTTTGTAATCAGGAAGGATTATGAAAAAAGAAAGTTCTGAAAAAAGCAAGAAGTAAGCACACAAGGAAAGAGCCCATTTACCATGAGGCTAGGTATTGGAACCACAACACTGCATTAAACCCAAGGTGCAGATTTTTCACATATTTAACATTCATGAAATCAGAATGTGTCTTACAATCAACAGGCTTGGAATTACTGTGAACAAGTAGCCCTCCTGACAACGGTTTGTACACGTGTGAACTTCATTGCTTCTACTGGTGTTATGAATGGATGGACTGTAAACCACTTAAGAATCATTTTAGAAAGGAATATGTATCTTGGCTGACAGTAAAATCAAAAAAATATGCTACGATGAAAACTTGTATAAAGGATCTTAGTGGCTTTGGAGAAAATTACATAGACAGCAGTGAAAGAATTTTTATGAAATGATGTATCACCAACACCTTTGATAGTTCAGAGGAAATATCTTAACCAATTCGGGCCACATATTTTTCTTCTAAATAATAATAAATCAAATAAAATAATTTAAAATATTTACCTAGAAATTTACATAATAAAAGAAAAACTTAAATGATATAAAACAGTTAAGATATTTCTAATATTTCTTCACATTTAGATTTTCCCTCTCCTAAATTACCTTGATGCAGATTTATCAATGTCCATGTATCTCCACCCAACATTTTCCTCTGTAGTATCATAGTAAAATGATAAAAATCTTTGCTTAAAGAAATTTTGTAAAGCTTTCTATATTTTTAAAATAGAAGTTTTAAGTGATAGGAAAACATAGAATCATACTTTTGTAAGACTTTTTCTTTCTTTGTGGCACGGGAAATAAAGGAGCAAATTTTAACTGATGGTGTCTTATAATTGATGAAATATGGTAGTTCAAGCTGTTTGAGAAGTAGATCTCTGAGGCAAAGACAAAGTTTTACATAGGTTTGCAGACAAGAAGACGTACATGACAAGTAAGGATCCAGACCATCAATTCCAAATGATGATAAACCCTGAATTTTCCCTTCATCTCCGTGCTGTCCTCTCTGACACACGGAACACAGAGGGATTCGGGAAGGGCTTTGCAGGAGAGGGTATCATCTGGAAGGGAAGCAGGAAGGAACTGCCCTAGGTAGCTCAGGGTTGGGAAATACCATTTGGACTTTTCACTGGTCACAAACCTGTGTTGTAGAGTTGTAGGAGAAGGTGGGTGTTATAACCACGCCGCTCACAGAGATGCTGACACCGGAAACGGAGACACTGCCCACTCCCCAGATCTCAATGTAGCCCAGTTTCACAGGGTTTGTATCGCTGATGTATTTGTTGAAAATTACATGACTGTGCATTGTATTCTGTCAATTGGAGATAAAAGAAACCAGAGGGGGGAAAAACAGCAAAATTTGTTCAAATTTTTCACAACCTCTTTTTAGGCACAAATGTAGACCATGAAGTGAGATAACTTAAGAGCCCCCCCTTCTTGTGACCTTGGATGGTGAGACCATGATTTTAGCATTCTATCTCCTATTGTCAACTACCATCCAAACCTGCATTGCTTAAGCACTGGCAGGGTCTCTAGAATCATCCCAATTCTAGGAAGACAAAGAATCTCAGCTATCAGGAACCTTATATTCCACATGTGGGGAAGTCACAAAATACGCTGACCGTTCCAAGGTGACATAGGAACAAGGGCTAGGAAACATCGAAACAGCCTGTCCATCCGTGCTTGGTGAACTGGAATAAGCTACTGATGAAATATGAATGGGCTTGATCACAGAAGACTTCCGGGGAGCATATTATATCTCTATCTGAAGTCTAGAGGATGGGGAAGTTGCAAATTAGTAAGATGAACAGTGAAGGAATTCTAGGTGGATTCATGTCATGATTCCCAGCATCTTCGTAAGCTAGTAGAACTCTATATTCTCCCTTCACAGTCCCAGTCACACTCACCTGGCTGACAGAAAAGTGGGCCAGGTAGTAGAGTCCTTTCCCATAGGTATCTGCAAACAAAGAACAAAGTAAGCATGATCTGGAACATGCTCTAGAATTCTAATTGCTTACCTGGTTACCTTGGTTGAGAAAGTAGGGATGATTTTTGTTTGGGTTTTTATCCTGTTTTTCTTCTTTACAGAGTTCCGTTTTGGGAGATTTAGTCAGACTCTGGCTCCAACCTCAGTTTACACAAAATGTTTGAAGTGAGTGTATACAGATGCCTCTGTCTAAGAGAGTCGCCTCATATAGTATAGTTTTCTAACACCACACTTAGTCCACTTCTCTTTCTTGTGGTCTGTGATTCCCAACATCTTGGTAGTCGCCTCGGAATCTCCAGACTCCTTCTGCTAGAGACGCACATATCTGCACGTACGTGCATGCACACCACATCACAAACACCAAGACTGGTGTGTAATTGGTCAATTTATCTTGAGAGGTTTTAGGCAATTTTTTAAATGCCATCTCCAGAGAATAGACTTCTTTGTCCTTTATCCTTAATTTATGCCACAGGTCCAGGGAGAATATCCTTAAAGGTGGACTAGCCAGAGCTTTGTTACAGGTACTCCCGCCCCACACCCTACCTCGGTGGCTTTCTCACTCTTCCCCATACACTTGCCTCTTTCTAAGTTGCTGGTCACTCGGTCAGAAGGCATTGGCTATCCTCTAGAGCTGTGCTGTCTGAGATAGGAGCCACTAGCCAAACGTAGCTATTTAAATTTAACTTAATTACAATTAAATAAAATTTAAACTCCAGTTGCTCAGATGCACTTGTCATGTTTCAAGTGCTCAGTAACCACATAAGCCTACTTGCTAGCATATTGGACAACACAGATATAGAACATTTCCATCACTGCAGAAAGTTCTATTGGGTATCACTGGGCCTAGAAATTACTAATGGTGCTTGAGACATCCTCCTGAGAGGTTACTAATTCCTGTAAACTCCTAATGGAAGATTCCCCCCAATAAATAGCACAGCTGATAGAGGCACTGCCTCTCTCACTGGGACATGTAATTAGGGAATGTGCCCTTGAACATAAACCAGATATGGAAGTATAGCTCAGTTGGCTACAAAGCAACTCCCCCTACGGCTCCTACACTGCTGTTTTCCACAGTGGATTAGGACAGCTGGATAACGGTGAGAGATTCAGAGTTAAGCTTCATATGCATGAGGCACAAGGATCATGTATTATACACTTAAAAGTAACAAATGGCCATATTTAAAAGTGCACGATTGTCTTAACACAGAAAAGGAAATAGCAGCCCTATAAGGTATCCAGGAACCTAGCCAATGGTATTGACATGAATGAATCCGAGGTGGCCCTTACTCACCAATGCTTTGCCCATCATCCCAGAAGAGCCAACCTTCAGCAGTCCCCTCATCACCCAAGGCAACCTTGAAGCCTGTGAATTTCTGACGGCTGCAGTGACAGAGGAAAGAGACTTTGGGTAAAAACAAAGCCACAGCCACAAACCAAGCTTCTTCATAAAAACATAAAGGAAGTTGATTCATGATATAAAGACTGGGTACTGGGATTCTGGAGACTTGGGATCTAGTTCTAGTTCTGTCTCCATAAGCTCTACAACTTCATGTCAGGAATGAATGAATGAATCAAAGGGAATTTTCCTTTAAGGCTGTATAAGCTCATAGGAGATCTACAATCTCTACAAAAAGCTACAAGCAAACTCAATGGCTTCCTTCCTTTCTCCACTGTGAGGAAAAGCCTAGTGCTTCAATCTTTCTTTTTTCATGACCTAATGTCCACATGTACAGTGAGTTCTGTTTACAGATGTCCTAAGTTCTTCAGTTTTCAACAGAATTTTTGCGATAAAATGAGTAGGGCTCCAAGAATTTTAGTCTGACATCAGACATACATGGATTTTAGTCCCTGCTTAACTCCTTACTAACTGTGTGACTCTGAGTTAATCACTTAGCCTCCTGAAGCCTCTCTTTGCTAATCTGAAAAATGGGGATGATAACAGTACTTACACCATAGGGCTTATCTTTCCTTTTGTTAGGAAAAATAGATAATCTCCAAATAGAAATCTCCATATTAGTACAGTTCTAGGCACAGAGCAAGCATTCACCTGCTGTCGGCTATTATCAATTATTATATAGGTCTAGAATACATAGGCTATATGTTAGGTCTAGAATTTTAAAATCTCGCATGTAAGGGATCTCAGCCTCAGTTGCCATATGGCTTACACAATTTTTCAGCAGTAATTTTCTTAGCAAAGAGTCAATTATGATCCAGTCTTTTAAAACTAGCATGAACCATGGTTGCTCTCCTGTTTGACTTCCACCTCAAATGTCACTAATGAGACCTAATAGCACACCCACTTAGATCTAAAATAGCTGGTAATTAAGAATTGTTCAGAGTACAGAATCCAAAAAAGGCTAAAATACAAACAAGTAAGCAAGCAGGCAAACAAAACTGTTTAGTAAAAGTGCTCTGGGGCCTGAGGGTGCGGTTTACAGATCGGTGGGCTTCACCAGGATCTGGGCTGCCAGGCGTGGAAGGGAGAAATGTGGCGCCCGCCCTCCCTCACCTTAAGTAGGTGTTCTGTGCAGGCTCTTGCCAGGGCAGGATGTAGCCCCCACGGACATGAAGATTAATGTGGTCAAGAGGCGCTGGCAAGGACTTCCACTCTCCCCGGGCTTGAATGTCCACACCCTGTGGGCCAGAAGAAGGTGATGGAGAGAACACATCTGCCCGAATGATGCATTTACCAGACATCTTGTCCACGCTCAGAACCTGCTGCCTGTTCAGGACCTGTTATCACACTTTTCCACGCTCGCCCAGCTGCTCTACGGGATCGAGAGCTGCTGCCAGGGCATCACGTCAGGGTCTCTTGTCTTTGGGGGCTTCTGCTGTACACACCCCATGAGATCACAGCTGCCTCTCACCCTACCCTTACCCCACATCCTGTTTCTGCGTAGGAAGCACCGCTAGAGGAGGCTGAGCGAGCCTTCTTTCTTTCTGTTCGGCTCCCAATTCACTCCCCCAAAGACACGTTCCCTTTGTTTTGTCCCCTCTCCGCCTCCGTCTCCCTCCACTGCCCCCCACCCCACCCTCACTAACACCTTTGACTCCTACTTGATAGAAATAATTAAAGTGAACTGCCTTACTTCACAAATCCTTATCTTTAACTCATTACATCTTCCTTTATGTTTCACATCTTGATCTTGCCTGTGACAGGGAGAAGCATCTCTCACCCCAGGCCATAAGCCTCGATTCCTAAGAAACCGTCCTCCCACACGTTCTCAGCCTAGCGCAAGGCTTCTCGAATTCAGCACTGTGGACGTTCTGGGCCAGATAACCCTGTGCTGTGGGCACTGTTCTGTGATTTCTAGATGTTGACCGGTGTCCATCCACTAGATGCATCTCCCCCACTTCCCACCACACTGTGACAACCAAAAATGTCTCCAGACATGGCCAATGTCCCCTGATAGGTAGGTCCCTCCTTTTGAGAATCACCACTTTAGAGGTAAGGAGCACAGCTGCCATCACACTTCTTCACTTTTGGTCCCCGGTGTTCATTTTATGCAGATTCAATCTATATCACATTCGCCGGGGTGGACTCTGTTTCGTGGGCCTGCCTCAGGGGGCCTCAGGAGTCTATAAGTCTATAGGACTTAATACAAATTCCAGCCCACATCTCTGGGCTTTTTCAGTTTTCTTACTGATATCATGAGAAAACTGAGTTATATGCTTTCTAATGACACTTTATTCTAGTATCTTACGAATGCTGGACTTTTCCTCCATTGATTGTCCTACCTTCAAGTGAAACTTGATACATGTGAAACCGTCAGTTATATTTCTACCAAATTCTTGATTTCTCTCAATGTTTTTTTTTCATTCTACTATACATTGTGGCTAAATATGATATGCTACCTTCTCATGATTTCCCTTCCAGGACCTAATGAGTCACAGGCTTGTTTCCTTTAAATAGTTTCTGACCAGGCTAGCCTAAAAAATTCCTGTTAAAATATCGATAAAGACATGACTATAAGATCAAATCTAAAAGCAGCATTATTAAAATAAGAAATGACAACCTAATGTGACTTTGTAAAGGGGAATTTTCATTAACTGCATAGTCACTGAATATGATTGAGAAGCACGGTTTTAAAAATCCAATATATATTCTACCCTGTAAACAAATAAACAAAATGGCCACGAGTGAAGTAGATCAAAACTTTAATTAACACACACTGTCTGCTCTTAATCTTCACTAAAATAGGTAATCAGTAAGACAAGTCAGAGTAATTCCATGCCTCTCCCGCTCCCAGACAGTCTACAAGCTATAGTGGTAGCTCTCAAGACAAGTAGGACTTTCTCATTTTTCCCTCTCCTGCTTTCTATCTCTTTCCCTTTCTGCTCTGCTTTCTGGGTGGTTTCCTAGATTGCACCTTACAATTTCTTTTTAGGGGCTTCCCTGGTGGCGCAGTGGTTGAGAGTCCGCCTGCCGATGCAGGGGACACGGGTTCGTGCCCCGGTCCGGGAGGATCCCACATGCCGCGGAGCGGCTGGGCCCGTGAGCCGTGGCCGCTGGGCCTGCGCGTCCGGAGCCCGTTTTCCGCGACGGGAGAGGCCACAACAGTGAGGGGCCCGCGTACCAGAAAAAAAAAAAATAAATAAATAAAATAAACATTTTAAAAAATGAATATTCAAAGCTGACAATGACTTAGGGAAATGAACACTCTTATCAAGTGCTGATGGGAATGTAAGTTGTTTCTGAAATTTTGCCAACTTTTATTGAGGATTCTTGTGTTAAGCATCTTCTCTGGCTAGAAATTCAGAAAACCACTGGGTGATGGGTGGGAGTGGAGCACATGCAAGACATGCTCTCTTGAACAGACAAGATGGAAATTTAGGTTTAACAATGTTCTGTTGAATGGAAGAGGTGAAAATTTAGGTACTGTAGAAACAGGAATTATATGAACTATACATAAATTCCTACCTCACTTAAGCATATAATAACCTGTGTGACACCAAAAAAACCCAGCTCAGAAACAGGATCTGACTGAATCATCTGCTCCCAGTGGAGAGCCGAAGTTTCCATCCTATTTACCAGGTGCAAGTTTTTCCATGCTTTTGCTAACATCTGAAATACGTCCTTCCTCTTCATCTTTTAAAGTATTGAGTATATTTTACTGACACTTCTGTAAACTGTCAGTGGGACTGGGTGCTGATAAAACCTTTTGGAAAGCAATCTGCCAACATCTGTCAAAATGTCAAATACTTTACCCCAGCAAATTCACTGACCAAAACTTACACCAAGATATATGTTCCGTGACATTTCCTACAGAACTGCACCATTACTTATAAAAAGAAAACAAGAAAACAAATTAAAATCCTAACTGTCCATCCACTGAGGTGCTTTGCTAAATGATTCCATACAATGGAACATAACACAGCTCCTAAAAAGAATGGGGAAGAGCTTCAAGTGCTGACATACAAAGATCTTCAAGATATGTTATTAGGTGAATTAATCAAGGGGTCTAATAGTATGCACAGTAAGATATTATTTGTGTAAATAAAAAAAGAATACACATATGCTAATCTATGCACAAATTTTTATCAGCAAAGATATATAACAGGTTGTTAATGGGGGTTAGCTTTAGAAGGGGGACCAAGGATTGGGAGACAGGGAGAATGGTGAATTTTACTTTCCGTTTTCCCTTTTCCAATATTTGAATTTTTACCAGTGGAGGGATTTTTACTTTGCTAATTTTTTGGCACCCTATCTGTCTTTCAGGGTACCTTTCCAGTCCATATTCCTCTGATATCTTCCATCCTTTAACCAGTATACTTGCATTTCTTCTTCCTCTAAATTTCTACACTATATTTTAATATTCCACAGTGTTCCTTATATCGAAGGATTTTTTTTTTTTTTTTTTTGCTGGTTCACGGGCCTCTCACTGTTGTGACCTCTCCCGTTGCGGAGCACAGGCTCCGGACGCGCAGGCTCAGCGGCCATGGCTCACGGGCCCAGCCGCTCTGCAGCATGTGGGATCTTCCCAGACCGGGGCACAAACCCGTGTCCCTTGCATCGGCAGGAGGACTCTCAACCACTGCGCCACCAGGGAAGCCCTCGAATGATTTTTTAATTTTTATTTTATATTGGAGTATAGTTCATTAACAATGTTTTGTAAGTTTCAGGTATACAGCAAAGAGATTCAGTTATACAAATACATGTATCTATTCCTTTTCCAAATTCTTTTCCCATTTAGGTTATTACAGAGTATTAAGCAGAGTTCCCTGTGTTATACAGTAGGTTCCTTAACTTGTTCCTTTTCACATGACCAGATGGTGAAATAGGTCTCATATACTTTGTGTATCCTCTAGAATAGGGATTAACAAATTTCACCTTTAAAGGGTCAGATAGGATATATTTTACACTTTGTGGGCCAGATAGCCTCTGATGAAACTACTCAAAACTACTTGATTCTAATTAAACATCAAAATTTTATATTTTTCTAAATGGCTTGTTCCATCAACATTTGGCTTCCTATGTTTTGTTTTGTCTCAAAAAGAAACAAAAAAAGTTGAAAGACTCAATCAAAGCTATTTTCTATTTAAAGGGAACACTCTTGCACTGTTGGTGGGAATTTAAATTGACACAGCCACTATGGAGAACAGTATGGAAGTTCTTTAAAAGACTAAAAATAGGGGCTTCTCTGGTGGCGCAGTGGTTGAGAGTCCGCCTGCCGATGCAGGGGACACGGGTTCGTGACCCGGTCTGGGAAGATCCCACGTGCCGCGAAGCGGCTGGGCCCATGAGCCATGGCCGCTGAGCCTGCGCGTCCGGAGCCTGTGCTCCGCAACGGGAGAGGCCACAACAGTGAGAGGCCCGCGTACCTAAAACAAACAAACAAACAAACAAAAACTAAAAATAGAACTACCATACGACCCAGCAATCCCACTACTGGGCATGTGCCCTGCGGAAACCATAATTCAAAAAGAGTCATGTACCACAATGCTCATTGCAGCTCTATTTACAATAGCCAGGACATAGAACCAACCTAAGTGTCCATCAACAGATGAATGGATAAAGAAGATGTGGCACATATATACAATGGAATATTACTCAGCCATAAAAGGAAATGAAATTGAGTTATTTGTAGTTAGGTGGATGGACCCAGAGTCTGTCATACAGAGTGAAGTAAGTCAGAAAGAGAAAAACAAATACTGTATGCTAACACATATATATGGAATCTAAAAAACAAACAAACAAAA